TGTCTTTCTGTCTCTCTGTTTACTATAGTGTAACTTAGTTCACTAGTACTGCCTTAACATATTACCAGAGTGGTTAGAGTCCCAAGCTCAATAGGGAGGAGAGCCAGTTCCTTCTAAGGTCCTGGTGTGTAAATGGTTATTTTTGTATCTTCATACCAGTTATGTTGGCTATGATGTGGTGACATATTATTTATGATTCACTAAAGTTTGCCAGAGGATTCAGAAAGCAAAGTCAGTCTCAAGCTATAGAGATCAGGCAGTGATGATAAACACCTTTAATCCCAGCAGTCAGAAGCTAGGAGGTGGTAGTACCCACCTTTAATCCCAGGACTCAGGATTAAGAGGCAGACGATCTCCCAGATCTATACAAATTGATCCAGTCCTAAAGAGAAACCGCTCACACAAAGATGATCTCAGCACCTGGGATCACACGCTTTTAATCCCAGCACTAGAGGGGTATAGAGGATAAGAGCAGGGTCTTCAATAGTCAGTATCAGGCATTCATTCTCCAGGATACAGCCTCGGGATTCTCCAGCCATGCTTAGGAGAGGCAACAGTCTGAGGCTTGGTAAGAGCATGTAGAGTCAAGATCAGCCCTTTCAGCCTGAGGTAGAGTGAGAGCTAGTGACCAGCTGCTTTGCTTTTCTGATCTTCAGCTTGAAGTCTGAACTCCAATATCTGTCTCTGGGTCTTTTATTTATCATGCTACAATATGAAGTTAGTCATACTGAATTAAGTCTGTTCTAATGACTGACTTTACCTCTTTAAAGATCAGTGCTCCAATGGCTGTTACACTCTAAGGAGACTAAGAGTTACTCCTTCAACATGTAAATTTTGTGGAAAACAACTTTGTTCATAATAGTAATGTTTTTTGGGGGAAGGGGACATGTCATTCATTCTGCTATCAGTTGTGTCTGAATGGGCTGTTTCCTTACAGATCTGTTTCATGGAGTTACTCTAAAGATACAGTAGAGAAATAGCAATAAGGCTCTTGGGCAGTATCAATCATATTTACTAAACAGCTGGCTTTATTATTATTTTGCTTAACTTTGTTTGATCCTTATTTTATAGTTCTATCCTTCTTTTGTCATTTTAATATGAGTAAGCATTCTCCTAGACAATGGTTGGTACAGACATGAAGAAAATGGAGTTAAACAGATCTGAACTAGAACTTGGGTACCGTTATTTACATTCTTAGCAGTTTTGACAAATGTGTGAGTTGTCTGTGCTTCAGTCCCCTCACCTGGGAAACACAGTATCAATAGCAAGTGTAATCACAAGACTAACAAACCTTTGGGTAAGATACACAACATCTGTGACACTGCCTTCTAAACAGGATCATAAGGGTGACATTGTATTACAAATATAGATCCTAGACTCTTCTGTTCTTCTCTCTCTCTTTTTTCTGCATAGCGAACAATAAAATCTCAGCTTATATCTTGCTTATAAATCCTGGCCAATGTTTTCAGTTGTTTTCTTAAATTCAGCAGCTGATACAATGAGCCAGGAAACCTTTTATTTTCAAATAAAATCAGAACCAGAAGGGACAATAAAAAAGACCTATAAATAAAGGAGTTGAAAGGAGTTCAGAGATTGAAACGGATGGTGCAGGAGGCAAAAAACGCTGCGTGCTTCTCCTAGGGGTAACCCAGGACAACTCTCCTTATGAAAATGCTTGAAAAATATTGAGCAAAACATCTCAGTAATACAAAAATTCCCTTTCTCTATGAAATAAACACTGAGCTGCCTGAATGTGGCTCTGGGACTGTGCTTCAGGCATAGATGGAATGACAGAAGCTTGACTACCACTCAAAACTAATATTGTATATCTAGGAGGAAATCCAGGCATCACTAATCCTCTTTCAAAACCTAAGACACTAAACATGAGCAGTTCAGCTAACCCTGTGCAATATGCATGGCAATCGATTTTAATGACACAACATGTTACATTTACGAAGCCAGGTCCTTCATATGCTTGTTGCTCCAACAGGAAACAGAACCTGGCCCAGGTTACATTAATCCCTTTTACACTGTACTCAGTCAATATATTCACATGAGAAATGAAGAAATGTTAATTCAACCCTAGTTGGATTAGAAATGTTCTATCACAAACTGAAAGCTTCAGAAAACCTTCTAAATATAATACCTATGCATTTGTAACTAGTCAAAGTATATGCCTTTAAAAATAAGTTAGGGATAGCACCCATAAACGTCTCAAGATTCAAATAAACACAAAAACTTAAATACTGAAACCAAACGACAAGTCAAGTGTGGGTAGGTGTGCCTTATGAAGACAATCACTTCAGCTGCTAACATCAGATCTTTTACATCTTCTGAAAACAACCAACTCTCTAAAAACTAGCTAATGTAACACTAACAACATAAACTCAACTCTGTACTTCTCAGTTTGCCAGGGTTTAATATTCTGTTGAAAGTAGTATGCCTACAACTGCAGCTCATTTTAAAAACAGGTGTCCCAGATAATGCCATTTGATCCAGCACCTCCTTGCTTTGGTAAGTAAACCCGACACCGAGGGCAAGAACCGGATTCATGCTTTGACTAGGGCCCTGAGCGACGGCAGGGTATGCAAGCTGCTGCAGTGCTTGAGCACCAGGTAAATGTGCTATGTTAATTACGGTTACATGATCTTGACCTGAGCTAATCCCCGTCACTGTTAACTTTCTTAGTAATCGAAGCTTCAGTGCTTACATGACAACAAGAGCTGGATAATACAGAACAATGTAAAATTCAGCAGATGAGGGGACAGTTGGTGACGGCCACTCATCTCATTAACTGTGCACGTATTTATTTCATAAAACAATGTCTGTGCATCAAAGCATCTCAGTCTACCATTACATATGGCTAAGGCAAGGAGAAGTGCGTGATTCTTCTGCTTTGAGCTTCCTATTTTCGCCATATTAAAAACAGGCAACAAAAGTTGTGATTATAGGAGAGCATCGAAATTGATAATCAGACATGAATTAGCAACTGACATGCTTTGACACTCTAGTGTATTAAGCAATGGCTTACAACAACACACAAAAGTACTGTTTCCACAAAGGATGTTATAATTCGGAATACCGTATCATTTAGCACAAGTATGGACAACCATAGTAAGGTAACATGTAGAACCATGTTACATGTCAGAGTTTGTATTTATTACCATTAAATCTAAAAATTAAACTATGTACAGACAGCAATTAAAAGCACTATTTTACTAATTAGAATAAATCAGTGCTACACTATATTTTATGTAGATTATTTCTGTAAAATAATAGCCTTACAGAGACTTGTAGAAAAATGACTAACTAATCAAAACCAGGTTGACAGAACTCTGAGGCATGTCCCACTTCTGCTCAATTTACACTGCCCTAGGCTGGAGGCCTCCACTGCTCTGGACCTTCTCTTAAGAATCATTTTTACTAATACCATGGCTATTGGATAATTCTCTTACTAACAAACAATAATAATTAAAACACATTTATCCCCTTCCCTTTCCTCCCTCTCACTCCTCCTATGTACTGTTCCCCCTCACTTTCTCTCAATTCATGACCTCTTTTTTATTGTCACACACACACACACCACACTGAGTCTGTTTAGTGTTATTTATATGTACGTGATTTCAGGGCTGGCCACTTAGTATTGGATAACCAATTAGGGGCTCATCTCTGAGGACTGATATTCCCTCTTTGGGCAATCATTGGTTGGCTATAATTCTTCATCTACGGACAGGCCTTGTGAAACTTCCCTCTTCCACGACAGCATGTCTGCTGGTTTTGTCTTTGTACAAATGTTGTTTAGGCAGCCATTCTTCATGAAGAAGATAAAATTACAATTTACATGAAAAATAACAAAACTCTATTCCATTTCTATTTATTGTTTTTCATGTGCATGCTAAAAAAACGTCTAAACTAGGCTGGGCGAGGCGGTTCACAAGTAGCATTGCACCTCTTCAGAGTCCGAGGCAGAAGGATCACCATGAGTCTGAGGCCAGTCTAGAGTGCATAATGGACATCTTTGAAACAAAAGTGTGAATCTATTTTAATCTTGTGCTATGTACTGTGTTCTTGACATGGTATCCATTACTGATAGGTTAAGAGGAATATTATTATAATTTGTGTTTAAATCACTGGAGCATCCTATCATCCATATTAAAAGTGGCCAAGAAATAAAATGCTAGACAATATTAATGTAACAGCAAAAAGGGAAATGTCAGTCTTAAGCTTACTTGCCTTTATAGGCCTCACTGCTTCAACTGTTTAAAAACGGGACAGTTTAAAAAGAAGAGAATGTAAGCAGTAATTTCAAGCAGCTACTTTTACTGCCTACAAGGCAACCCACAAAGAGGCAATAGGGTCTTTCTGATGAGATGTCTGCAGCCAGCATCCACATACACACCTCATAACATTTTAAAAGCCACCCATAAGGATGCTGAGATTTAATAAGCTCCAGTACAATATAATTAAAAGATCTCTGGGCATTTCCCCCCTTTTGGAATTTAAGAGACAATAAAATAGATTTGGAAGGAAATCCTCCAAAGATGCAGGCACTAACCCTATTCTAAATCTCAAGGCACTTGAGAAGAGATACAAAGGTCTACTGTCACTGCTTCAAGTTCTTTCTTTTATGCTACAAGTTACTTTTTTCAAGTAAATGAAAGTCTTCATTTGTATAATTTGTAAAATAATAAGGTTGAGATAAATGATCTCAGGGTCCTTTCAAGCCTTATAATTTTAATATTTCTCAGGGGCTACTGTATTAATGACTATTTTTCTAGATCTGGTAGAAATGAATAACTGACATAATCAGTATTTTAGTTTTATTTTCAGGGAACCTGGGGTAACTTTTCATTAAAATTGATATGGTTATACATGCTAATCCTATCATGCAGAGCTGTAGCATGAATATGTTTACTAATAAAATTATACACATCACAGGACTTTAAAAAATAACCACATTGGTATTAAGTCTTTTGAAGAAAACTTCAAAACTGACTGACCTGATGACTTGGTTGCAGTGGGCACACATGGGAGTTCGCTTCCCTGCTGGAATGTGCTCGGCTCTCTGCACCAGTGTGTCTTGGTCACTTGGCTGGGGCGCCCCCACAGCTGAGTTTGCAGGTACTCTTGTACCTGAAGAAGTCGCACTATTTGTGATTCGTCCAGTAGAAGGTGCTAGGAGTTAAATGCAAGAGAATCAAAATGAGAACAACTCAAATATGAACTTTTCCCAATAACAAAATTACTGGTTATTCACTGACATTGTGGCAAAGTTATGACCCAAGCACTGGGCTGTAGTTAAACATGTGAACAGAGAATACAAACCTAAGGATTAGCACATAATACAAGTGACAGCCATAGTATAAATCTACTCCTTTCTTCTTTCACATGGAGATATGGCTAGGTGACCACCATAAGTGACATATTTCTTTCCATTTAGTTATCTCTGCTCACATTAACCAATCAAACTTATCACAGGAATATAAGAAACTTCAGGGTGCTGAAGATAAAGAGCTCACTCTATTCCCTTCCAGGTTGTTTTTCCCATGAAGAATACATCATCAACTACCAGGCATGTCAGCTAGTTACCAAGTATCGTCCCTGATCCTTCCTGAGGACCTCTCAGAAGAACAGATCCAGATTTCTACAGACAACTGTTGATTTTGCTTTCCCGTATCCATTTCTACATGCTTCCTATTGAGGTCCCAAATGTTTTCTTTCTGGATAGGCTGCCAAAATGTCTCATCTCCTTTATAAGCATTATCCCAATGACCACTGAAGAATGTAATGTTGGCAAACCACAGCTCTGTAAAATGTTTCAAGGGTCTCCCTCCCTTTGACCAGTGAGTATAGTTCCGGTCTGTACACAGTACACGGATCCTCCTGGGACATCCTCCCCAATATCACTTTCCAGCCCTTTGCCTCCACGTAGTGTTATAGCAATGCTAAACTGCCTCACTTCTTCTTGCATCTATGATCTTCTATGCACAGGTTGTCTTTGCTCCCAGTAACACCATCTTTTTTCTGCCCTTTCCCCTTGTTTGCATAGCAACTACTACATATGATTTAAGACTCAACTCCTTAGTGAACTTTGTGAGACCCTTTCCCTGACCCACATCTACCACGGTTCCTTCCAAACAACAGAGATCAAATGTTTGCCTCCTAGACTCCCATAATTTCCCATGAATGCCTTAATCATTCCACTAATAATTCTTTGTATTTTCTTCTTCAACATAGCATGCTCTCAAGAACTCTTAATCCTATTCTTCAACAAATACAATCTCTGAATCAATGAATAAACCAGTCAATACATTACTGAGTAAGCACACAACAGTTTGAGGCCAACAGAGAGGCCTTTACTTTACCCACAATTAAAGTCTAGTGGACTAGAAAAGACACACATTTAAATGGTTTAAAGGGAATAACTTAAATGAAAGCATACACCTATGACAAAACCAATAGCATGTGATACATATATTCTTTTATGCCAGCACAAGTTGGCACCATCTATTACAGGTGTGGTTAGAAATGTATAAGATTAATTAAGATATCTGTAAGGATGATTTTTCCTTCATCAGGATCAGACCTGTTGGCAAGGATTTGCAACTATAGATCCAGAAGCCCTATACTTCTATGGTACCTTGTGTGGTGCTCACTCTATGAAATGGAGCATTCAACACTGAGGAGCTTGACAGGGTTGGGAGCATGTTTCCACTCTCTTTGGCTTACATGTTCTCGTAAACAAATGGGAAAGGGCATTACTGCCATATCCACTTTGCATATCTTCTTCCTCAGTACTTGGTTTATCCTCACAGCACCCTCGCCTCTACAGCTCTTCAGTTTCTATGTACAGGTTTGCTATCTCCCAAACACAGGAAAGCATTTTGCACGCTCAATCTGGAAGACTTTATGTTTAAAGCATGTCAATGGGTCTCCTTTTGGGTACATCACAGCTTTTGCCTGAGAACCTCCCTTTTAAAAATCTCCCAGGGAGGCAGGCACAGATGTCGGGCATCCTGCCTCCCATATCCCTAACGCTTCATATCTAGAATCTAGTAACTGCTTCATAGTAAATGCTTTCAAGTCAATCCAACACCCACCCGCCACCTTATCTAAACTGTAACCTATCATTTGAATTCCGGTTTTGAATTCCATAAGTCTAGACCAGCTTCACCATTCTTCCAGCTGCAATCTGTGACTTCTTCCATTTCTTCTGGCACATGCTTGCGCTACAAGCATGTACGTATGTACATACGTATACGTATACACACACACACACACACACACACACACACACACACACACACCCTTTGCTCAGAGTCCCTTCACAAAACCACACCTCTGTAACCTTCAGCCAATGAGGTGTCCACTAAGTGCTGCTTTCTTACTTACAAATTTTTATTTCTTCCCCAAAGTCTCCACTGACCACTATAGGAGAAGTGCTCTCTCTCTCTCTCTCTCTCTCTCTCTCTCTCTGTCTCTCTCTCTTTTAACATCTATAGCACTTTGCCTGTATAATTCACATACTATTTATCAAGCTCCTGTTAATATCTTGTCTTCTCTAAGTTGATTAGTTCTTAAAATGAGTACAAAATATATACCCCCTTTTTTTGCCATTAGAAAACTGCTGTAAGGCTAGAAAGTGAAAAGACAATTAAGTGGAAAAGAGACGGTCACAGTTCACTTTGTTGTTTCTGCCCTTAGACTATACAAAATGCTATTTCTTAAATGTGGATTAGGGTTAGGGTTTCAAATGGGAAAGTTACTAATTGGAAAATCTGGAAATCAGACCTCAAAGAGAATGAAGCCCTTTCATCTACCGTATCCCATTATCTATGCATAAGCCCTCAAGTACTGAGTCATCCGGACATTTTAAAGCAATAAATGAGTACAAAAACTCAAAGTCACTGTAGAATGGGACATAATCCATCTGGCACAGGCCTCACGAAGGTACATGAGGAACTAAGTTATTCGTAAGAAAAGCATTTTAAATCACAAAACATGTGGCTGCATCTTACATACAAATAAGGCTTTCTGTTAGTCTCATGTTCACTACCTAGGATGTGAAGGAAATTCTCACAGCTGTTTGCTGCTGTGTGCTAGCAAACTGCCTCCACACAAAGCTATGTAGTTCCTGCTGACAACCGAGCCCTGAGCAGGTCCAAGGCACAATTATTGACAATATGAATAAAATACTAATTCTTCAGACTGAGTCTCACACTTGTGCAGTACGGGAACAGCTAACATCTGAGCAACTACGACAGCTGATGGCTCTCCTCACTTGGCAAGATGAGGTGTAAGAACATGAGTGAAACAATGTTAAATGAGTCCCATTCCCATGATAATTACTTGCCCCATCTCAGAAAAACTGTCTTCCATGGAGACAGACTGCATCAGAGGTATTGAACCCCCTGTAAAAAATGATCTTGATGACAATTTACTCATCTATAGCGTTTTTTCTTTCCTTTTACTTCCTAGTAATAGCGCCACACAGGAACATGAACTCACCCCCATTTCACAATGTGAAATACAAGCCATGAGTCAGTCATGAGTCAATTACTAGAGAATACTGGGAAGTGAGCTCCATTTTAGATTAGATTTCTTCTTCAACCTTAATCCTGAATAATTTTCATTAAATTTGGAGTCTTTTTTGGAGGATCCCTACCTGAGTGGAACCTTGTTTGAAATATTTTCCATTTGTAATAAACTTATTTCAGCAATTATTTTTTTGAGATAGGGTTTCTCTGTGTTATAGACTTGTCTGTCCTGGAACTTGCTTTGTAATGCAGGCTGGCCTTGAACTCACTGAAATAAGCTGGCCTCTGCCTCCCAAGTGCTGGGATTAAAGGCAGATACCACTACTGCCTAACTCAGAAAAACTCTTAACTAGTCACTAAAGACTGTCCCTTTCATTAATAAAATTGAGTTTTTTTAGGGGTTATAAACAACACAGATCCATACTTGACCTTTCCTTTTGCTTTCCAACACTAGGTGTTTACAGAGTGTTATGTGATTTCCCTGAACATTGACTTATATTAATAAGTTGGCTGGTGGCTTGGGCTTCTTATTGGCTAGCTTTGTTTTAATTATTAACCCATAACTACTAATCTATGTATTTCTACATGGTCTTATCTTACTGGAGAACGCCTGACTCACATCTTCTCTTCCTGGGGTCATATGTCACTCCTCTCTGCCTACACTTCCCAGAATTCTCCTCGTCTCCTAGCCCCGCCTATCTTCCCACCTGGCCAATCAGTGTTTTATTCATCAACCAATAAGAGAAACATATACAGAATAACATCTCCCATCAACAAAGATTAACACCAAATAAATTAAACAGGTATTAAGTAATTTATGAGTATATTAGATGGCTCTCAGCATATAAAAAAGGATTAAACTGATCAGGTAAAATACACAGAATGAAACGTAGTTGGATCCATAGTTTTAAAAATATTTGTCATGATATATTTATTTTAATCTGTGACTTCTTACATCTCTCCATTTCTTACCATATATACTCTTGTACACACATACACACATCCACAAAACCCTACACACAAGACCAACCACACATTTATGGACTTTTTTTGTATGTTGAAAAGTTAAAGGAAATAGAAAAGAACAGAATTGTTTTATCATTACAACAATGTGATTATTAGCACTTAACAGGTCAGGAATGCACAGGCAGAAAAGGATAGTGGTTGCCCAAGGACATGAAATTAAGCAACTTGTTTATGAACTACTTAGCATTGAACATTGTTCTGGGCTTACCAGTATGAATAAGAACTATCTGTGCCTTCATGAAGTTTAAAGAAGGTTATAGACAAGTAAATAATTGATTTTGTAAACACCAAGACACAGTGTAGGTATGAAATGTTTCTCAAAGGTACAGGTAACATGGTTTTGTGTATGTCCCTATCCAAGGTGCTGTGAGATGGTGGTGGACCTCTTTATAAGGTAGAGTCTAGTGAGAGTTTGGTGGAGGCATGATCTCCTGGTTTTGGTTGTTAGGTGAATGGGCTTCCTATGTCACATGCTTCTGCCACGATGAGACTTCGTCAGAGAGTCACAAGCAGAAAAGGGCAATGTACTGAAACCTGTGTAATAGCAGGGTGACTGTTGCTGGGGTTGTGGACCTGCCCTCTGATTGGATGTGAGGACTGCTCCATGGAGAA